GTTCCCAGTAATTTAAATGCTTTACTGGCTCTCTGTGGTCCGTAAACGATCTCTGTATTTGTTCAAGTTTTGATATTTCTCTTGCCTTGAACACGAGCAATATTCCAAATGAGGGAGCGCTAGCATTATTTCCCTTGTTTTGAAAGTTCTCAATACCCAACCCGTCACCCTCCTGTTGTGATCTCACATTCACCCCTCACCCTCGCACACCCACCCCTAACATCCATTCCCATATACCCATCCACACCCGTTATCCACCCTCACCCGTTATCCACCCTCACCCGTTATCCACCCTCACCCGTTATCCACCCTCACAACCTCCTTATCCACCCTCACACCCTATCCACCACTCACACGCCCCTTAACCACCCTCACACGCCCCTTAACCACCCTCACACGCCCTTAACCACCTACACGCCCTTAACATCCTCACACACATCTTATCCACCCCTAATACCCACCCCCGAACACCACCCCCACCCCCGCACAACCACCCCCGCACACCCACCCCGTGGCCTGGCTGGCAAAAGCTCTCGCTTCACACACGGAGGGCCAGGATTCGATTCTCGGCTGGGTGGAAACAGTTCGACGCGTTTTCTTACACCTGTTGTCCTTTTCACTTAGCAGCAAATAGGTACCTGGGTGTTAGTCGACTGGTGTGGGTCGCATCCTGGGGGACAAGATTGAGGGCCCCAATGGAAACAAGACGGACAGTCCTCGTTGACGCACTGCCTTTCTTGGGTTATCCTGGGTGGCTAACCCTCCGGGGTTTAAAATCCGAATGAAATCTTTTCTTACCCCTTACAACTGCCTTCACCTCCCATCCACCCCCACATCCACCCCACATCCACCCCCCACATCCACCCTCCACACAATCCACCCCCACACACATCCACCCCCACACACATCCACCCCCACACACATCCACCCCCACACACATCCACCCCCACACACATCCACCCCCACACACATCCACCCCCACACAACATCCACCCCCACACACATCCACCCCCACACACATCCACCCCCACACACATCCACCCCTACACACATCCACCCCTACACACATCCACCCCCACACACATCCACCCCCACACACATCCACCCTTCCCTTACATCCATCCCCGCTTTCCACTCCCACATATTTGTCCCCACACATCCACCCTTACATCCATCCTCACACCCACCCTTACATCCATCCTCACATCCACCCCACCCCTCACATCCACCCCCACCCCTCACATCCACCCCACCCCTCACATCCACCCCCACCCCCATCCACCCCTCACATCCACCCCCACCCCCCATCCACCCCCACCCACCCCTCACATCCACCCCCACCCAACCCCTCACATCCACCCCCACCCTCACATCCACCCCCTACCCCCACCCCTCACATCCACCCCCTACCCCCACCCCTCACAATCCCACCCCTACATACCCTCCCCCGCGCTTTACATCCACCTTTACACACACCTTTTACATTCACCCCATACCCATTCTTTACATCCTCACACACCTATTCTTACAATTTAAATTAATGAAAAATCACCCCTTTTTATGGCATGTTTAATCTGACGAATAAAATCACCAGCCCTTAGTGATGAAATTGTGTATAGCACTAAAATGTTTATACAATTCATTTTAATAGATTCATTAAATTATTTTATACAATGTTTACTGTCATATTAGATGATGGTAAACCCCTGTGGTACTTCATGCAACAATGATGGGAAGGCAGTAGCTGGCCAGGGACTAGGTAACATGTGATTCAACAAAGTATTTCATAACTTAAACTGGCAGATTGTGGGAAATTTAAAAGTACTGTATGTATAGTATTATTTTTTCTCTATGCTATATACAATACACATTGTACTTGGTTGTCTACATGGCACAACAGTATACAGTGGACTCTCCCTTTTCATCTTTAATTTGTTCCAGAGAGTCCAACAAAATGTGAAGTTGACTAAAACTGAAACCATTTTCCCCATAAGAAATAATATAAATCCGATTAATTCGTTTCAGACATCCAAAAATATAAACAAAAAAACATTTTATAGAGAAGAACCATATTCCATGGCTTACTTATCTATCACAATTCATCTAATATGACATAATAAACAATATTAACAACATAGAAACATGATATATACTACTCTAGAATGAATAAAATATGTCATTACGTATGTGAGGAGTAAGTGGTGGTGATGATGTTGGGTTTATAAGGGACACTGAGAGAAGCTGTACATATTAGTGGTAGTGGAGGCGGCATTGGAGGCCACCAACACTGTTCACATAAACAATGTATGTAATTTATAAATAAGAAATATTTACACATACTGTACCTTGGAGATGTTGGCATTGGTTTAGGGTGGTGGAAGATAGGCAGGGCAGCATATGATTGTCAGTGACCCTATATACCTCCAATAACATTGGAGGAGTCAGTTAATGCTACACTTTATCGCTAGCTGGCGCTATAGCCTTTATCTACTCCTGCTGCTTTAGTATTGTACATATCGTACATATTGTACATATCGTACTTTAAGAGCTTTTTCTTGAATTCTATTATGTTTCTCACCTTCTCTATCAACGGGCTGGCACTTTGGGCCCATGGTGGCTTATTTAGCAGTCACACAGAATAAACAAGTGCAAACAACAACGAATTATTATGAAATGTTTCCTATGGCCTCGTAGAATAATGTTCACTCACCCATAAACAAAGTGGCATTGCCTCTTCAGAATGCATGTGTGTGCGGCACACTTGGACATGTACCATACCACCGACGAGAACAGAGGAAAGCAACAAAAACAGAGCCAATAATTTTACGGAAAAAATCGGCAGTAATGGAAATGAGCGAAAACAGAGCCCAATGAAAAGGGAGGGTCCACTGTATACAGTCATCCCTTGGTATTCTTGGGGGTTTGGTTCCAGGACTCTCTGCAGATACCAAAATCCACAGATGCTCAAGTTCCTTACATAAAATATCGTAGTGTTTGCATATACAGTGGAACCCTGAGTTTCAGACATAATTTGTTCCAGAAGGCTGTTCGAGTGCTGTTACCGAACAAATTTGTTCCCATAAGGAATAATGTAAATTAGATTAGTCTGTTTCAGACCCCCAAAAATACACTTACAAAAGCACTTAAAATAATACACTTATATAGTTGTTTGAGTTGGGAGGTGGCCGAAACTCAGGGTACCACTGTACAGTGGAACCCTGAGTTTTGGCCTTAATCCGTTCCAGGAGCTAGGCCTAAAGTCGAAGCAGTATTTCCCATAAGAAATAATGTAAATCCAATTAATTCGTTCCAGACCCGCAAAAATATTCGCAAAAAAATACATTTTTTGAAGAATAACTATAGTTTTACATACACAAAACAATTATAAATGTATATAGTACTTAAATGAATAATGAAATAGATAAACATTTAAAATCACATTTACGTACCTTGTTGGCATCTGGAAGATAGGGAGGAGGAGAGAGCGAGGACTTATTATTGCCTCCACCACTGCCTCAACCACTGCGGTGGTGCACCACCTCGTATTTTTGTACAATTTCTTCACTTCTATGGTGTTTCTCACTTTCTTTACCAAAGGGGTTCCACTAGGAAGTTTCTTAGGGCCCATGGTGACTTATTTCAGTCATAATCAATAAACATCCACTAAACACAATGAATTTATTGTGAAATGTTTGGATGAGCGAGCAGGGTAATCGTCACTCAAGGATAAACAAAGCTAGACTGGCTCATGATGCCTGTGTGGGCAGGCGGACATGTCTGGTACACCAGCCGAAACATGGGGCACAGGCCGAAACTCGGGACAAAATTTAGCGAAAAAAAAAGTGGTCGAAACTCAAAGCGGCCGATACTCAGGGCGGCCGAAACTTGGGGTTCCTTTGTAACCTACCTACGTCCTCCTGTATACTTTAAATAATCTCTAGATTACTTACAATACCTAATATAACGTATATGCTATTTACATAATTGTTGTGTTGTTTAGGGGGGTAATGACACTTGCCAAAACCCTGGTTCTTCTCTCTTGATAGCCCTCATATGAAGGTGATGATGATGATTGCTGTATGGTGCCTACAGTGCCAATGTGGTGAGGTAATGAGATGGGTGGTACTGTAGGTAAGCAGTGAGACATCAGGCAGGATCTGACGGTGTCAGATCATACAGGATGATAGAAGGATCGTCTACATTAGAAGAACCAGGTTCCGATTGCAGGCATTGACTCTTTGGAGGAGGCTCAACAACACTAATGTCAGGATCTGTGGACATTGAGGGCTGAGGATCTTGAGCATTGAAGGTCGAGGCTTCACAATTGCAGATGATTTAGTTAGAAACACGGTTATAGGAAGCTGTTTCTTTTTCTTTGCCCCATTTTTGCCGTGGTAGGGGCAGCACTAACACTTCCACAAATTTTAGCTTCTTTATGCTTTATTGTGTGAATGCTCCATTCATTCTTACCAACCATATGGCCCACTTCAGCAAGCGACATGCCACTTTTCAAAAGATTTAAGATTTTTATTTCTTCATCAAATCAAGAGATAACACTTTATGCTCCTCTTAGCCTTTAAGGGATTGCTTAGACCACTTAATTGCTTTTTGGGAATCATATTTTCACAGAAACGAAAGGTGCACACAGAAAAAGTAGCAAGAGTAGCGAGTGAATGAGATGAGAGGTGAACAATGCTCAAACAATGAGCATTGTTTGCCTACAAATTACTATATTCATGTGGATTTGGTGTGGTACTTGGTGTGTGACAAATTCATATTTTTTTTTTTTAATATTTTCAGGTTGAACCTGCAGATATGGAGGGCCAACTGTATATGTTGTGCTCTGTTAAATGAGTTTTATTATTAGAATTTAGAAGTCAGTTTTAGAGTGCTATTTTATGTGTTCCAAATTGATATCTAACTATAACTGTACTATAAAACTATTGGTAATGTACTAGGCGAGTTGTATTTCACAACATAATGTTTTTTTTTCTCCTCAGATGTAATGTAGTGCGTGATGAAACGTCGTGTTGATGATCTGTCTGGTCGGGGCGAGGCAGTGTCAGGCATTGTTAGTGCTGGGTGTGTTGCTGGGGGACTCACCCAGGGGGGGCAGGGGGTTGTCAGTGGCCCCGGGGGGGTCGGTGGGGCACCAGGGAATTACGTGCGAGGCTCTACCATCACACAATTGGGTACTCGCCCCGGTCAGCCCACTACAGCAGCAGTAACTGCAGCAGCAGTGGCTGTGACAGCTGTTGGAGCACCTGTGCCTGGGGTTGTACCTGTGCCAGTCACCAATGCTGGTCAAGGGGTTGGTGGTGCACCTTCACCTCTTGACCACCAACCTCATAATCCAGCACCTCAGCCAGGTAAGTTCATCCTTCCTCTGTTCCTTCAACAACTCATACACTTTCAGATTTAATTAAGGCGGATGTTTTAAGAATGCAGTATTTTTTTTTTATTATCATCACACTGGCCGATTCCCACCAAGGCAGGGTGGCCCGAAAAAGAAAAACTTTCACCATCATTCACTCCATCACTGTCGATGGTGAAAGTTTTTCTTTTTCGGGCCACCCACCCAGTATACAGTGGACCCCCGGTTAACGATTTTAATCCGTGCAAGAGGGCTCATCGTTATGCGAAATAATCGTTATGCGAATTAATTTTCCCCATAAGAAATAATGGAAATAAAATTAATCCGTGCAAGACGCCCAAAAGTATGAAAAAAAATTTTTTTTACCACATGAAATGTTAATTTTAATACACACAAACTGAAAAAGGCATGCACAATTACATGACACTTACTTTTATTGAAGATCTGGTGATGATTGATGGGATGGGAGGAGGGGAGAGCATTATCTTCTTACTGTTTAGAAGGGGAATCCCCTTCCATTAGGACTTGAGGTAGCAAGTCCTTTTCTGGGGTTACTTCCCTTCTTCTTTTAATGCCACTAGGACCAGCTTCAGAGTCACTGGACCTCTGTCGCACAACAAATCTGTCCATAGAGCTCTGTACCTCCCGTTTCTTCAAGACTTTCCTAAAATGGGCCATAACATTGTCATTGAAATAGTCACAAGCACGGCTTGCAACAGCTGTGTCAGGGTGATTTTCATCTATAAAGGTTTGCAGTTCAAACCACTCTGCACACATTTCCTTAATCTTTGAAGTAGGCACAATGGATTCCACAACTGCCATAGGCTTCTCAGGGTTAGCCCCAAACCCTTCAAAATCTTTCTTAATTTCCATACTAATTCTCACCCTTTTTACCACAGGGTTGGCACTAGAAGCTTTCTTGGGGCCCATGGTCACTTATTTTCCAGAAACACCACCGAAAACACTGTAATAATACGAAATATTCCGAGTGTATGCTTGGATGTTACCGCGGAGGCTGGCTGGTAAACAATGGGACGGCCGGCACATGTGAGGGCACATTGGACGCGTCTCGGACGAAAATCGGTATGCGGGTTTTTAATCGGTATGCGGGGCAAAAATTTTGCGATAAAAGTAATCGTTATGCGGAAAAATCGCTATGCGATGCCATCGTTATGCGGGGGTCCACTGTATTACTATTCAGTATACTGCTTCTCCTCACTTAACGATGGAGTTCCATTCTTAAGACCTCGTCGGTAAACAAATTCATCGGTAAGTGAGGCGCATATTATAATGGTAGTGGGTTTGTATCAACCATCTTTGATATTGTTTTAGTGTCACCTTTGCACCATTTATAACATTTCTGGTATATTTTTAAATGTTTGTACAGTAGTGTGCTGTATATTGTAATAAACAGAATAGAGGAAATCAGCCCTAACATACATTATTTAGGTATGAATACTGGTCGAAGAGCCCATCGTAATTCCGAGTAGTCGGATGTCTGATTATCTAGTCTGGTACTGAAAATTTTCAATGAACTTTCTTTACTAGAAAGGTTAGCTTCAAGTAGTTTCAAGACACCCTACCTGCATATTTTAACCCTTTCAGGGTCCGTCCCGTAGATCTACGGCTTTACGTTCAGGGTCCAAACCGTAGATCTACGTCATGAGCTCAGCTCACTCTGATAAACTGTGAGTGGTAAATTTGAGCCTAGATACGAGAGAATACATCTATGTGGTATGTGTGCACCACATAAAACAAATCCTGCAGCACACTGTGTATAATGAGAGAAAAAAAACTGAGACCATGATTTTCGATTAAAACAGCGACTTTGCAGTGTTTTTTCATATGTTTTTTATAGTTGTATTTGTGATTTCTTGGTCTCATTTGATAGAATGGAAGACATATTACAGAAATAGAGATAATTTTGATTGGTGTTAGCACTGGAAATGGCTTGAAACTGAGCTCAAAGTGGCGGAAATGTTAAATTTTTGCCGATGTTCAAGAGTAAACAAACGACCTCACACGTCTAATACACGCCAGCTGGTGGGTCTAATATACATTCACAAATGTGGTGATGATATTTATACAATTATTACAATATTGCATAACAGTAAATCTTCTATTTTTTGGTGTGAATAAAAATTCATTATGTGAATAAAAAATCAAAATGGAATTTATTTGTAAAGCCTCAAAACGTAACTAATGAACAGAGTTAATGTTAGTTTAGTGCCAGGAATACCTACATTGTTTATTCTGGACCCTATTTTGAAATTGGAATATTTTGAACTTTTTGTTAAATTGGCCAAATTACCAATTGGTATGTGAAACTTTAATAAAATTAAAAACCCTGTAAGTACACCTACCATCTGACTTACGACTTGCTCGACTTACGACCACTCGCCTTATGACCGTGTTTTTTATGCCAAATTTCTGAGAAATAAACAACTATTTGTGTTGTACACAGTGTTTATCCTAAACCTTACAGTATAAAATACAGAACTAACAACATAAAAAGTAAAGCAAAACATGAAATACCAAAATAAAACAATAAAATAGTCATTACAAAAATGTTATGTTGATATTCAGTAGTAAAGTTCGACTTACGACCGGTTTCTCGGAACCGAACTCGGTTGTAAGTCGGATGGTAGGTGTAGAAGGAAAATTGGAGACGAAACATCGATAGTTTGAGTACTCAGAAGGCTCTTACCCGCCCTCAGAAAAGAAAAATTTTTCCATTCCTTTGAGCCCGATTTCAAGCTACTTCTGGTTCTGAAACCAGTAGTATGTCTTTCATTTTATCAAATGATACCAAGAAATAGTCAGTACAAGAATAAAAACCATACTAGAAAACACCACAAATTTGCTATCTTAGACCAAACATAAGGTCAGAGGTTTGTTTTTACCATGATGCGGTGCATCATGGTAAAAATACACTCTCCGGACAGACTCATTCTCCCATGTCTAGGCCAAAAGGTAAGTTTCACTTCTTATCTGAGGGATTTGAGCTTCAAATGTAGATTAATGTAGTGACATGTTGAGTTAGTAATGTAGATCTATGAAAGAGATTTGAAGGGTTATAGATAGTTGAGAGAAAATAAAGAATAATGTTATGTTAAAGATGCGTACCACAAAATGAAGACAGGTTACAGCTGCAAGAACAATGGACAAATGCCATAAACACTATGGGATAAATACTCACAATCATCAGAGAGTCAGACTTCTTTAGATAATTAACTCAAATTACCTACTACCCCCAGGATGTAGTGTGGAGAGGGTGGTAGGTGGTGCTGGAGCCTGCGTTCCTCTGAAACTAGCACTTCAGTCATAAATGACCCACACCAGTCATACTCGTGCACACAAAAGTTATGTCCATATGTGTGAACTTTTCCCTCCTCACATAAAGTATTAATTACTTGTATTACAGGTAACTAAGGTTCACATGTTGAGATTACATAAATTTTACAGCTGTGAAGGTACAGAAAACTGCATTTTCATGTTACCATTTTGCAGTAAAAAAAATAAATCTGGAAAATAAGTTTATGATAGGAGACAAAGTTTTTAAACCTGGGAGATAGAAAGTTTTTAAACAAAAATAAGAGTCCATCTCAGGCATGTTGATGTAGCTATTTTTCGAGTTGGCACTAATGTCACATAAGTTAAATTGCAGATTTTAATCTATTAACTGTGTCTTGTGTACTAATACACAATTTTTTTTACTTTGGACTCGAATTTGTCGCATGCTGCCATTTAGGCTTCAAATGTATTGTTTGGGGTACTAGTTATTACTTGCCTCCTAGGAAAAAGTCCAGGCTGTAAAGGTGCTCATAGGACATTGCAAGTAATAACAACCAGTCAGCATGGGCTCATAATGATAGGTTGACACCAACATTTCTTGCAGTGCAATCCGGGAAATACTCTTAAATTTGGACTTGAGTGACATCGAGGTCCCGTGGCTCAGTTGGTAATGCACTCAGTTCACATACTATACTGAATGTCCATGGTTCAATCCCTGGCAAGAGTGGAAGTGTTAGGCATGGACAATTTGCCAAATGTTTCACAATTTAATGATAGCAGAATTCAGCCAAATTGTCCAGTAACAGATGATTCCAATAAACTTGACTACTTTCAGTTTTTCTTCAGTGATACTATGATGAATATTATTGTTGCCCAAACAAATAACTATTACAAATACAGAGTGGCCAACTCTTAGGTTTCACTGAAATTATGGCTTCGAAACAGGAAGGACACAACTGTTGTGGAGCTGTATATCCTCTTGTAACAGTAATACTGATGTGAAACATCCATAAGAATAACATATTTAAATATTGGAGTGCAGATAGACTTGCAGCAACACCAGCTTTCAGTCAATTATCACACACAAAGCTGTTTTCACTGGTTCACTTACGGAAAGAAGTTTGAGCATTGTAAATACGTATAGTAATTGTTGATTTACTTCTGTATTGGATAAGTTTAAAGTAGAATATTTTGCTTTGAAAGTTTGGTTTCCACCCCTGAGTCTAAAATCTCATTAAAGGCTCTCTCCATAAGGTTATAAATTTTTGGAACCTGCATTAAGCCTTAACCTTTTCACTCCCTAGCCCCCGCTGTTTGCTTTTTAACCCCTTAACTGTCCAAACGTAGATTTATGTTCACTCGCCCAGTGCTCTGAATATTTTGAATTTTTTTTTTAAATAAAGAGGACATTTTTTTACATAATGTAAAAAAAAAATTCTAGAGTCAATACTTATGGAGATACAAGGCCGCAAAGTTGGCACTTGTCGCTCACTTGACGGCAACGTGAAGTGCTGCCTCTTGCAGAAGCATTGCCGATATACCTTTTATTTTTTAATTTGCATAATTTTTATGTTGTGATAATTACAATTTGTAGTGGTTCTTGTGATTTCATAGTTAATCTTTGTTCTGATACTAATATAAGGTACTGAAATAGTACTCAAATACATGTATTCACAAACACAGTGATAGGTGAACATTTTT